ATGGTGATAATTTTACAAGAAGTGGAATGAATATGTGAATTATTTTTAAGCATTTTTAAGAATAAGACATATATGAGTTTTTGAAAATATTTTATGTTTTGAAACATGGATGATTTTCAAAAAAATTTGTTAAAAATTATTCTATTTGATTTGTTATGATTAATCAACAGATAATTTCTTGAAATTTTAAAAGATAATAATACCAATAATTACATTTTTGTAAACTTATATAATTTAAAGTTTTTCATTTTTCATAAGAAAAATTATGATAATAAGTTAACTAATTTAACTTTTATTTAAAAAAATATCATTTTTCCTTTCATATATTTAGTTTGATTTTTTTTATAATGGATATAATTTGATTATGTTTCATAAAACTTAATTTCTATGGGTTTTATGTGATATTCTCATGTTCGAATTCTTTTATTTTTAGTTTAATAAAATTTTATGGGATGACAAATAATTGATAAACTTAATATCTTATGAATATAAGAATAATTAATATGTGAAATAACATAAGTTTATATAAATTAGATTTGTCTCATTACTGTCATATCACTCCTCTTTGAAAACCCTTCATACGGGAATAAGCATAGTGTTTGAGTTCCCTTGATTGTTGAAAGAAAGAGCTGGATACCACATCATTGAAATATTATTCACCAACTTCTTTCATATTCTTAATCTTTTCATGGCATTACAGAAAATTTTCAGCCATTCATGGCAGACGTAACTGCTCTTTCTTCAAACACAATCTTTACGGAAAAGAGAAGAACAACACTCAAAAATCTTAAGATGAGAACGAAAGTGTTGATAGCTGACAGAGATAATGCTGATATTCTCTTCTAGTAAATCCTGCATCTCACTTTTCAATATATTTTCTCATTCTAAAACTGATAATTGTGTATAGAAGACTTCCAAAATGTCCTTTGCATTTTTTAATTATCACTGTACCATTCTCCTTGAATTCATTATTCATTTGAGCATTTTCATGTTGGAATGAATGACTAGCAAACCATTGCCAGCAATGATCTTTCTCTAACGATACTAAATGAAAGTGCATCTTTAATCATTAAGAGGGTCATGTACAACAAAAGACATCATTAATCATTTGAGAGTCTTGTATGACAAAACACATATTGTGGAACATTGTACATAGATAACATTAGAGGCAAATCAATCGACCTATCCATTATCTTCCACAACAAATACTTGAGACATGTGAGGTTCCATGTATCCCGAATTGCATTCAAAATATCTTGTTTTACTTCAATATGTAACTTTTAAACAAAAGTTTCTTCAAATGTATTTTGCTAAATCATTGAGAAGTTCATGTATGACAAAAATGTAAAAACGAAAACGTTGCACACAAAAAATGATATGATTCTGATAATTCCCTGTGTTACTTTTCATTGAATTTTGATGACTTTAAATAGCCGTCGATGAGGCCTTGGCCCGTTTACAAAATCATGGAAATAAAAAACTACATGCAGAATATTCCATCTTGTATTTCTTCCATTTGTAACTTCTAAACAAAAGTTTATTCACATGTATTCCAAATCATAGAGAAGCTCAAGTATGACAAAACATATATTCTTCCATTTGTAACTTTTAAACAAATGTTTCTTCACATGTATTTTGCCTTCAAGTATGACAAATGTACCACTCCCAAGAGATTTCAAACAGGAAAATCAAGAAAATCTTAGAGAAGATTGTTCAGTCCAACAGAAAAGATTGAAGTAATAGATTGAATGATGCTCTTTAGGCGCATAGGACGGCCTACAAAGCACCCATAGGGATGTCTCGCTATCAGGTTGTATTTGGAAAGGCATGTCATTTACCTGTAGAGATAGAGCATCGAGTCTACTGGGCTGTGAAAACTTGCAACTTCTCTGTGGATCAGGCTGGAGAGGAAAGGAAATTGCAACTAAATGAACTTGATGAGAACTCTAAATTCTACAAGGAGAAAACCAAGGAGTTCCATGACAGCTTGATAGTTAGAAAAGACTTCGTGGTTGGGCAGAAAGTGTTGCTATACAATTCTAGGCTCAGAGTCATGGGTGGTAACTTACTTTCAAAGTGGATTGGACCTTTTGTTGTTACTAATGTTTATTCTTATGGTACGGTTGAAATCAAAAGTGAATCCACGTACAAAAACTTCAAAGTCAATGGGCACCGGCTGAAGTCTTTTCTCAGCCATCCTTCCTTGTTGGATACCGTTGTGATAACTTTTAAACAAATGTTTCTTCACATGTATTTTGCCAAATCATTTAGAAGTTTAAGTATGACAAAACACATGTTCTTCCATTTGTAACTTTTAAACAAATGTTTCTTCTCATGTATTTTGCCAAATCATTGAGAAGTTCAAGTATGACAAAGCACATATTCTCCCTACTTGATGGTTGAAAAATCAATAGACATACCATATCATCAAAATATTGTTCATCAACTTCTTCCATAGTCTTACTCTTGCAACACAATAAATAAAACACCTCTTGAAATGAGAAGGAAGATAGTGATATCTCATTCTTAAAGCAGGGATAATATCAATGTCCTCTTCTGAAAACTCTTATATCACTTTTCAATACATTTTTCCATTCCAAAATTGATGATGTTTGAAAAGCTTCCAATTGTCTTAAGCTAAAGACAATCCAAAACCAACCATTTTATATATTCCAAGCATGTTCATTTTGGAATCCATGCTTCCTAAACAATTGTTAACAATTATCTCCTCCTAATTTCTAACCGCATGGTAGAAGTAAAAACATTAAAAGATCTAGTTTCACTGAAGTTCATACTTAACAAGAGTTTGCAAAGAGTCCCAACATCCATAATCTCATTCCAAACATCGTCCAAATCATGAAGAAATTCCTTCCCCAACAAACCTTGAAATCAAATTCACATTCCATTCTAGGCTCAGTGTATAAATGTTGGACAAGCAAGGTCTCACAAATCTCACTCATACCCACGAAGTAAATCTCACATTCCAGTGAATTAAAGATGATTCCTTGGTCATGGTCTCCATCATATACAACAATTTCACCCAGAAAGCATGTTGACAGCTTTTTTGACATTAAAATTGACACCAGAAAAATAGCTTCATTGAAACCTGGTAAACCCCTTTTTCTTGTAACAAGATATCCTAAGTTTTGAAGGACTAGTTGATCCTCAATTCAACTTCAAATGAACTAAAGCAAGATAATAGGAGAAACGCCATACCTTGATTGAGATCTAACAGCTAGCATGTGGAGATTTTATTGTAAATCTCATACATGGAAGCCATCAGAGCATCTTTGATAGCATCAGGCCATGCATGTTTTCACATGTTAAGCTCCTGATCTTCATCATCAGCATTGACTCAAGGAGTAAGGTTTCTTCCCTCAACTTCACCTTTAGATGGAAGAAAGAAAGGTTGGAGAATTTTTAAAGATATCTTGCTTTCACCAAATCTTATATTACTTGTTGACAGCTGGAAAAACACCAAAAAAAGGTCAGAAAAGATTCTCTGGCATTATTTTCTAAAATAAATTATTTTGTCGGCTATTATAAGAATGTTCATTCAAAAACTTAAATAAATTTCTGATTTTTAAATTTTATTAAAGTTTTGATTTTATTCTGGTGATACATAATCTAAAATGATAAAAGTAATATGTTCAAAAATACATACAAAAATCACTTTTAGAAAATTAAATATATATAAATCTTGCCTATCTTTTCTATATAATTTGTAAGTTTAATAGGTATTTTTTTTTTAATATTTGTAAGATTAATTTAATATGATTCTTTATTTTATTTTTTTTACTTTTTAAAGATTTTTTTTCCTTCTTCCTCTATTTTTCAACACCGCACACTCCATTCACAGTCTCTTTTTAAACAGAACCTAACATGTGATTACTTTCTAAACCTTAATTTACAAAAGGAAGAATGCTTTTGAATAAAATATAAATGAATTAAGAAAAAAATACGAAATTATGTAAATTGTTACATCCCAAAAATACAGTAAGCACCATATAGTAGAATTAATCACATTTAGCGATAAACCAAATAAGTCTTAATTAAAACGAAAGCACAGGTTCTGGCCGAACGGCCATACAAGAAGTTAAATATGAATAAAGACGTTCGACTTAATCATACTTGATCGAACGGTTTACAAAACCAACACCGAACGGTCATAAAGAAACATAAAGACACAAAAACTGGCGAACGGCCACTTAACAAAAATAAATAAACTCAAGCCGAGCGTCCTATTCTTCGGTCTTCACCTCGACTTCTACTAAAGTCTCTTCCCCCAAGTATTGTTCTTCCAACGCCTCTTCCAACAAGGCATCTCCTCCTGCTCACATCCACACGGATGATCATTGCAAGGACAAGGACGGACGTACAGATACAGGACAACCCAAGGAAAAATACACAGGGTAAGCTTATATAATTTAATTCAAATAATAACATACATTCACATATGCAAGCACAATCAAATACATTCAAATAGAAAATTCCATCAAAACCCTGATACTAGACTGACTGTCCGGACTGTATGAATCTTGTGTAGCTACTACGTTCGTGCACCCGGGTGATGTAGTAACTGGAATTCTCATCAGCTGCCACCCGAGGTTAGTCCGTTCCGTCCAAAGTACTCCTAAGGACTAGGACCTCCTGCCGTTCCCACACATGACGTACCCCCTCTACGTGAGGACGAGTACTCACGAAACATCAGGATGAAACGTCGGCCAAGCTTTGTCCACATTCATACATTACTATAACAATATCAATCAAGAGTCGTTCCTCCCCGGAACGCTCGTTCAACTTCCACAACCATCATTCATTTCACATTCTCAATTCCATCTCCCAAACTCTTCATCATTTATAATCTTTAACTTTAGTGTCGTTCTCTTAATCATTTCTGGGAACATAAAATTAACGAACGTTCAGCCCCCTATATGACGAGGACGAACGACAGGAACGAGGCAAAGAAACTCCCTCGTCCTAGAACAGAATACTACTAAAGGGTTTACTGAACTCTTTAGAAAGGAATCAAATACACATACGAAATATATGACGAACTTCTGCTACAACCTGAATCAGTTAGATGAACTGACTCTTGTGAACTTAAATCAAAACTCAAAGAGTATATAGAACTGGGGAATCTTGGTCCAAGACAATAAGGTGGACCTATTAGAACGTCAAAGTACTAAACTTAAAATAATTAATATACAGAAATCTCATGTCAGTAAATGACCGAACAAGGAAAAGAAAGTTCTTTTGAAATGGGACGAACGCTACTATTCATCAAGAAACGAGTACGAGCGCTTGGTGTAAGACCGAGCACTACTTAGTACGAACGCTAGGTGTAAGACCGAGCACTACGAACGACTAAGGTATACTAAAATATATATATATATATACATTACTCTATCAAGGGACGTTCGTATACAACTATGTTTGGCCGAACGCGCAAACATAGTATTTCCACACGAGGGCGTTCGTTCTCGATCAGAACTCTTTCCAAATGAAAGGATTCCTTTTTAAGCATTTTACTAGAAACTGAACGGTATAAGACCGTACGATGACGAACGTATTTTATCATAGTAAGGATTTCATATTTCAGATTTTCGTCTATTTCAAATCTCAAGTTTCAATCATATCAGCTCATATTTTATAGCTTCATATCAATTTTACAAACTTTATATGATTCACATTAATCATTCATACTTCAAAGTGATAACTCATTTCATATTAATACGTATCAACCATCAACATACATTTCAACCAACATATACCATATTCATCATACAGTGATCATTCATGCATAATAATTCAGCATATATCTCATACATTCAGTCCATATCATACGTTCATACAACATACAAGTATCAATTAAATTAAATAAGCTTCCCTTACCTGGACCAGTAGTGAATGTACTAAGAGTGTGATCTTGACTCGTCCAACTATGGCTTTCTACCCTCAACGCCTCTCTTAAGTTCTTCAACTAAATCTAACCGAAAGAAATACGGAAAACTTTAGCTTACACCCTTTCATGCAACCAATCTTGGTTTCGCATGTCATCCAGAAACGAGCGTCTAATTCGAGAGACTTACCGGTTTCAGAATCTGGAGCTGTTCGGTCCAGGATGAAGCTCACGACGCAGGAACGTTTCTACGGTTCTAAATGTTGAACGAAGAAGAAATGGGTGAGTTACAGTAGAGAGAAGATGGAGGTTTTCTAGAGAGAAGGTGGAGAAAAATGAGAAGTCAGTTTTGGGGAAGAAGGAGGGTGCATGCAGAGAATGGGAAGGAGTGTTTCAGAAAAATCTTTTCCCCTCCCAATGTCAAACGGACGTACTCTCACATGCGGACACCTGTCTTCCACTACTGATTTCAGAATGTTCCAACCGTGCCACTTGGCAGTGGTGCGACAGATTAGTGAGTGTGTTTTTAATGGTTCTGAGCAATGACGTGGGGTGTATTAATTGTGATTAGACAGCTGGTTTACGGTTCTAATTTTCCAAAGTCTTACATAAATCAATACAAATATTAAAACCAAAATATCTATTAAGCATAATTTTTAAATGTACGTCTTTAATTTCTTTATAAAAGTACGTATTTAATCTTTGTAATGAAAATAGTGCTAAAATTTGTTAAGCATGTTTTTAAGAAATAAATAGTTTATATTATCATTAACAAACATGTTTATGAAGATAATAAATAAAAAAATACTCAATTTTAAAAACACGAAAAAACGAACATATAATTAAAATTTTACTGGAACAAAATTAAATAGCCATCCACAAAGGTTTCAACTTTTAGTATTTGTTGCAAAGGAAATACCACTTATATATTTTATGAAATGATTTTAAACACATCTTTTATTAATAACTTGGCTTAATGATACTGATAGTCCCAATTTTTGTCAAGTTTGATCAAAATAGTCCTACTGTTTTTAAAATGTTCAATGTAGTCATAAATATTGTAATTTGTGTTCAATTTAGTCATTTTTTACAAACGTCGTTTAAATCGTTAACGACCAACTGTCTAGTTTACAATACCCAAATGAGATGGCATTTAACTGCCCACATCGACACTTTAAGGCACAATGACGTGGACCAAACAGATTATGCCACGTGTCCTAATCCTCTACACACAGATCTGGCCATTGAGAAGTTGCCATGTCACCATCTTCTTCCACTTTCAGCCCACACAAAAATTGAAATCCTAATTTATCTCTAGCCACCTAACCCTAGTGACGCCACACCTAAACTCTCAGGCTGCCACCGCAATCAACACAGACCTGCAAACGCAACCCAGAAGACCATCACCA